ATGGATCACTTGGGTTGTTACCAACATCTGGTGAAAATTTCATGTCATTAGCACCTCTAGTAATATATTTACTGAGAAAAATGGTGACGTGTTCAATACTTATTTTACCCTCTGTATGACAATAAATACTCACTCCGGCTAAGAACAAAGATGCTATCTGAGCTCTGAAACACTTTAGCTTTTACTTATTTAACAAGTTAGATGATTACTTGTTATACTTTTCTGCTCTCTGGAATCTGAAGGATAAGAATAACATAATAAAAGATAACAGACTGAGCTAATAAAAAACAAGTTCAGTTGATTTTAGAGATCTTTTGACTGCAGATTTTAAGTATTTGCCATAGTGTGAAAATCTGGACCTTGTGTATCTGTACCTATAAAAGGTGTAGTATTGCAATAATAGTTTAGTTAATGTATTTGAATTATATGTGAGGCCTGATATCCTGATAGTTATCGTAATTATAACTGAGATTTTGTTTTGTTTGTAACAAACAACCTGTTAAAGAAACATCTAAGAGCATGCTGACACTGCATTATTTTCTAGACTTCAAGAAGTAGTCAGGGTACCAGGAGAACGAAACCCAAACTGGATTGTTGGTGTTCTTTTAAAAGCAGGTAAACTTCACACAGAAAGACCGGCACAGCTGAGATCCATTCCTCCGTATTTTCTGTTTGCCACGATCAGCATAGTGCCTACTGCATTCATGGTTACCATTTTAATTTTCTACTAAATGAATTGCAAGAAACACCAAATTTTTAAAAGTAAAAACACCCTTTATATTTCCAATATTTTTGTTTTAAATCATGCCCTCAGTGATAGTTTACCTCTATGTAGATGTAGTGCTTGCTTTTGGCGATAACCTGGATGTAGGCATTATGGATGGACTCCTCGTGATATTTGATGCCGGCTGACCAGTCTGCTGATGACCGCAGAACCTTATACACAAAGAAGATTTATTAAATACATGAAAGATAAGTTCATTGAGGCTAATGTAAACAAACGGTTGGGAGGGGGGTTTCCATAAGCAGCTTCTGCATACAGCACATTCTGGAGAGAGCTGAAGAACAGGAAGAACAGAAAAGGTGAAATTTCATTATTTGAGATTCTTTTTGTGAATTAAATCAAATGAACAGGTTTTGTAAAGCCCACAGATGGATCCTAACTTGTGCTAAGATCCCCATAATAGGCCACCTTTAAAGAGTAACTTACCCCAAAATTAACTTTTTTTTAGCTGATAAACTGTCTAGAATGTGTCTAAAATGTTATAT